ATATATATATATATATATATATATATATATATATATAATAAACATCAGTATATATAATTGTTGTATAATGTATAATTTTTTGGATCAATAGTGTAATCATTACAATTACACAGTTTTTTATTATACATTTTAATTACACGTTTATTGCTCTCTGAAGTACTGATTACCCAAATTACCCAAAATTTAGTATAATGAATACTATCATGATGTATACAATGTACAACAGAAATACATCAAAGTAATGAGAAAAAAATTGGATTATAGTACATTACATTACAGTTCCTTTTTGATTTTGCAGTTAAATATGACCCAGATGTTTCCTCACCCATTGATTAAGCATATCATGCATATAACACAATGTATGAGACATACCTTTCCCTTCTCTCGACTTCTTCTTGATGCCCAGGTCTGGAGATCCATTTGAAATGTGATGGGGTTTGGGTTTCCGCCCAGCTGAAAAGATTAAATAAACAAAGATTAAAAGTTTAATTTTAAAAATTAAAGAAATATAAATGAAGTTAACAAAATATATTCACAGACATCCCATTTAACTAAAAATAATAATCTGAATATTGCCTTTGCCAATGTTCATGTTCTCACATTTTCTTCTTTTGGTGGGTTCCATCTCCAGCATCTCAGGCTCCTGAAAAACCGTAACCACCTCCATGGGCTCCGAGTCCTCTGTGCTGACCTCCACTACGGTCTCTGTCAGCACATCAGGTCGCATGGCAGCATGCAGGAACTCCGAAGTGTTGACACATGGAGGCACAAATACCTCTACACAACAGAAAAATAAAATCCTGGAAATCATGTTTTCCCCATGGTGCGGTTTTCTACAACAGTGCCTTGTTTTGTGATGTGAAAGCTAGAAGTGAGAGAGCAGTGCTCACCTGGGCTCCGGTCCCCACGCAAGCTGGAGGGAGAGTCCATGTGTAGAAGAGCTTCAGCAGCCTCAATGGTTTTGTCAGAGCACTGTACAGAGCCATGAACTGATGCTTCCACTGCAACAGACAGAACACACACACACATACAGTAAAAACAGTCATAGTGTGAACTATTATTACAATGTAAAATAAATGTTTTCAACTTTGATGTACTTTAAAATGTCATTTATTCCTCTCAAGGAAAAGATGTAAACTTATAAATATATTAAGTGTTACTTTTGATTAGTTGAATGCACCATTGCTAAATAAAAAAGTTTATTATTTTTTTTGATCTTCCCAACTTAAACTTTTGAACAGTAGTGTAATTATCAAATGCCCCATGCACTGGACTGCTGGTACACAAGCAACCTCATGTTTCAAACTGAATATCTGTACACTTAACTGACAATAGAGGGTGCTAGTGGGTGGAAAACGTGCATTCATGGTTACTCAATATCATAATATTTAAAAAAAAATTATAATAATTTAAAAAATCCCACAATCAAACCCCACAGAGTGAGTGATATGATTAGGAATGGGTGACGAGAAAACTGGTCTAGCAATGGCTATAAATAAATAAAAAGTTCATCAAATAGATTTATAATATTTTTTCTCTTGTAAAACCTTTATGGTTGAACAAATTATTTTAGTGACATCCATTTAGTAGGGAGACTAAATCAAGTGTGTGTTTGACACTTTAATATGGTACTTAAGAGCTTTAAAACACTACTACAGTTAAAGAGGAGTTAACACTGAAAATATGCCTTCCAGTCGCTTTGTCACTGCAAATAATCAAAAGTTAAAGGGTTGACATGAGTGACAGACAATGCAAGTTGAGCACTCTAACAAGGATTCACTAAATATAACCAACACAAATGGTTATGAGAGAACATTAAATGTAAATCCCATAAGGACCTATTAATACAAATTGTGCAACCTCTGAACTATAGCCTTCTTGAGATTCTGCCTTTGCACCTAAATAGATCCAGGGGTGTCATACCTGCAATCATTCGACTCAAAGCCCAATTAATGTGCTCTCAGACAGTTTGGATAAAAGCATCTGCTAACTGACAAGTCACTTCCTTGGACGCACTTATTTAGAAACAGGTGCGGAGAGGCTGATCTCAGACAAGTAGCTCATGCATATATAGGACAGGACCTCCAGCCCTGCTCCCTTTGACGTTAACATCCAGAGCCACTAGCACCTGTGCCAGTCTATCCAAGCCGTCACTCAACTCCCATTACAACCTGAGCCTGCCCATGTTTGGCTATGCGTGTCTGTTGCTGCACACGGGGGCTATCTTTAGGCAGTCCCAGTCATAAACACATACACACAGTGTCCTCTAGAATGGGTGACCCGGCATGCATTTACTTCCTGTATTCAGACAGCTCTGCCCTTGGAGACAGGACACACATCAAAGTGTAGATATTAAAACAAAATACTTATGGTATACATGATATATGCTCTGCATATGGCCTGCTTTTAAACAATTACTATAAAACAAAAAATCCTAGTGTTATATCGTTCAGTCCTCGTAGATATACATTTAAAATGATAGTTTACACACAAAATATACTACATCATTTACTCACCCTCATGTTGTTCCATACCATAATTTTTGGAAGAACACGAGGATGATAACTGTTGACGGTTTTTATTTATGGTTTAAATATTCCTTAAAGGAGGCCAAACAACTGCTTCAGAAGTGTGTTTTTAATCCAAGAATAAACTAAAATAAAAACCTAAAAATAATATTTTAAAACTCGAAAAAAGAGTCAAAACAATACTAAAAGCTCTTTAAACAAATACATTAATTAAAATAAATTTTAAAAAAAAAACTTCTGCCGATAAGAACAAGTAATGAACATTCACATAAATATTCATAAAACACTACAACAGCTGCTAAATATCGAATCACGTCATTGTTGCTGTTCATATAATAATAATAAATACATTATTATTATCCATAATTCAGCAAATCGTAAACCACCAGTACAGGAGACTTAACATTGCGGTACTATTTTTCTGTCACTAAAATAGCGGTCCACTAGAAAGTAGTGCTGTCCCTCCTCACTTCCGTGTTTACAGTCGTCAGAGCTTTCCCTCCAGTTCTTTCTAAAGACGCTCTCCGAGCTTCCTGCCACTCAATCCCCGCCCCGAATCTGATTGGCCTCTACTCTGGTCAACGCCCCAAGAAAAAGGCAAGACGATTGGTCAGGTGTAGGATTTCGAACGCGACGCCAATACTATTGGACAACAAGCGCTGTCACTCAAAATTTAGACAGCCCAGTGGAATAACAATGCTTCCGCCATCAAATTAGCTCTAAAATCTACACATTCACAGGAAGAAAAAAAAAAGTCACTCGACACTTTCACAGCAACACATTTCAGGTCATAAAAGACAAAGTTACGTTTAAAGGAATAATTAAGCGATAAACGTTACTCATTGAGCGCAGAAATGTGCAGAAAGCAGTGCGACCACGTTTAGATAACGGGACATCTGCGACATGAAGCAAACATGGATTTTATTACTCAAACTCTATGTTTTCGACATACATTTTAACACTATTAATGAATAAAAATGCGGTTATAATGTAGTTGCTCCGCGTGTGTTTTTTTCATCCGATATGCCACATTTCCTTTGACGACGAGGCATCAAAATAAATCAATCGTTAAACGTAATGCTCTCAGGCGCTATTTTATTAAAGATACAACGCACTCAATAGATTAACTACAATTCACATTTTAGAAAGCTGTATTTCAGAGTTAAAAATAAAACTCGGTGTCCTTCCGACTCCAGACAGCGTGGCAAAGACGTAGGAAAGACAACATCTCTCCCACTTCCTGGTTTCAGAGCAGCGCACCACCTCCAGAGAAACCCGTTATTCTAACACGGTCCACATTTATAAAGCCCTCAGCGCCGTGCAAACTCAACACTGTGCACGCTGCTCACGCATAACACAACACACACGCCTTCACGCTACTTTTCAGCACTCCAAGAAAGCAGATGAGAAAATCAGGCAACGCCATGCAGGTTGCCAACCAAGGTGATCACTTCCTGAAATGCCCTCCATTACTTTACAGCACAACTTCGCGGATCTCAGCGCTGCGGCGCGAGCACCGCTCTGCTGCGCCCCAAACAAAGCCACGCTGGCGAGGATGAGCAAGCGCTGTGGTCTTTTTACCTGCTCGGATAAGCAGATCGAGCTGGTTAGCGGGTCCATCATGCAGCGACGTCGCCATGTTTCGTCCAGAGGTGCAGAATTCACATTGACTCGCATTGAAAGCGTTTAGAGACGCACGACTCGCGTATCACTCCACCTCCACAGGAAATCTCCACAAATTCAACCGCGCGCGCACAGATCCTTCCGCGCCAAACACAGGAAATCCTCCGCGCGCTCTGCGTTACGTTCGATGTACATTTACAAAAAAATATATTTTAAAAATAGCAGTTAAAATTACGCACAGAAGTATTTTTAAAACAAGGGAAATCTAAAACTCTCTACAAAGTGAATTTATTGAAGTTAGTGAAAATAACT